TAACGCTGGCTGTGAGGGGGGGCCCTGTGTCCTGCCTTCCCTCCTGGCTGTACTGACCCTCTCCTTCCATCCACACATGTACACCGGTCTCCCCAAGGAGCACATGGGACCAGTGAGGATGCAGAGCGGGCTGCTGCACACTGCGGGGAGGGTGGCAAGAGACCAAAGCGGGCAGGAAAGAGCTCACTCCCTGACTGCCGCTTACTCAGGGCTGACACAGTAGCTTCTTGGGTCCCCAGGAGACCTGGGGTTTCCTGGAGGTACACCCTGCTCAGGCTTGCGTCTAACAGCTACCAGCCTAATGAAAAAAAAAGCTGGTCAGAAAACAAAAGTTCTTCCTGAACGTGGAGGAGAGAAAGTATTTGAATTTCATTTCATGCCACTGTGGGGACAGACTGCAGATTTTCTTGTTGAGTGAAAGAACACAAAAAGAAAATGTAGGGACCTAACACACTCCAAATGGTCTTGGACGAGACCCATGGTTAGGGCCATGGTTACTGTGGTGGAGAGCAAAACTGCACAAATTAACACACTACTCGTAGAGAAGGCGATCGAAAGTGCTGGGTGATTTGCAAGCACCTCATTGCACACCCTGCAGATCCATTTTATAAAGAAATATCTGCTGTGTCTGAAATTTTCTGTGAAATACATCAGTTCACTATAAAACATCTCTGCTGATCGGTAGTGTGATAAACCACTACACAAGCATCTGCCTTGCTTTCCTCTTCCCCATTAAAGATTACTGGTGCACCAAAAATAATTTAGAGCTGCTGTAGCAAGAAGACAGTTCTGGGTGTCAGATGTGGTTAGATAGTTACTATTTGAATAATGACATTCATTTTTCTTTGTAAAGTAAAAAGCACACAACATGACAGCTGAACCGAAAAGAAGAACAAAATCTAAGGGAGGCAAGCTGATAACATTCAAGACAACAGCTACATGTCCATTATTTGTATATGGAAAGAGCCTAACACCATACTTGACACTCAATATCTACGAGGTACTTCTAGATCGTGTCACATCTGAGGGCTTTAGAGTCTGTGATGCATTTATCCTCCTATTGCTCTTGTCACACGATCCTCGTATCTCTGTGTCACAGATGGGGAACTGTGGCACATGGCAGCTCAGTGGCTTCCCCAGGGCTATGCAGGAAAACTCTGGCTCTGCAGCATGGGCCTGGGCAGTCCAGGGCATGACCAGTGCCCCAAGCCCTGGGTCACCCTCTTTCTTGATCCTGCACCCAAAAAGGGATTTTAGAAGGTGCTGCAAATAACTGATTTTTTAACTAGGTTTGTGGTTTAAATAGCTAATCTGATTGCTCTGAAGGTCCTGGAAGAACTAAGTTCTATGTGTCAACATATTTCTGTGGTTGTTTGTGTAACTTTTACCATTGTTGGTGGTTTTGGTTATGAACAATATTAAGATGAGGCCTTGGCTGAAACGTGCCAAGCACTCTCTCATCCTATGGCTTTCACTTGCATTTGAAGCTAATCACTGCTTGCCAGCATTAGCCTAGACACCAGATGGGTCCTGAAGGATCTCCTGACCATGGCTTATCTTCACTCCCAAAGTATTTCCAACAGTAATGAATCTCTGAGACAGAGGATGTAACAAAGGTTTCTCTGACAATTTTTCATGAATAGTCCCTTCCCCTGGGGATACATCTTTATCCTATTTGAATCAAAAAGTTACAGATCTTTGGGGGTTTTTTGACAGAGAAATATGGAGGTATGTGGAGGAATATATATATGAAGTTATACATACATGTGGCAATTTCTGATCTGTATCAGTCTCCCTAATGGCTGCATTTCCAAATCCAACCTGTATGACTTGATAGCTAGAGCCTTTCTTCCAGTAACCACGTGCTTCATAATTCTGTCTCGGAGGGGAAAGATGAGAAGTTGCAAGGGGGCTGCATAGGCTGGGCCAGGCACCTCTTGCTCTGAGGTAGCACCAGTAAGAGAAGAATAGGGTCTCCTTCCAAGAAAGCACATGGCAGGTCTCTACATCTGCAGTATGGTCAGAAATCAGCTGCAGACATGCTAAGGTTACCATTAAGGTGGCCCATATGGATGGTACCAGTTGTGCAGCTACTGCACAAAGAGATCCTCTCACATGGCAAAACCCACCTGAGAAGATAGGTAAATACTTGCCATCACCTTAAGGTCCATGCTGTTTTGGCTACACTGCTGGTGCTAATCAATCTCCAGAGCTTGCAGCTTTGTGAGCTATGGTCACACAGTTGACTGTAATCCTCCTGTGGAGGTGGAACCAGCTCTTATCTTTACAAGGCAAGAGGTAAAGAGAGGTTAAGCACGCTAAGTCCCCAATATTATGTGCCCTGTGGAGCAGTGAAGGCTCTGAGCAAAGAACAAACCATGGTCTCGGGAAGAAGGACAAATACTTTTTTTTACAGTAGGGAAGATAAGAAAATAATGAAGGGTCCTGCCAGCAGGAAGCTAGAAGAAGTAAAGAGAAATAGCAATTGTGTTAGCTATAAGATGCTCTTCTCTGGTCACTTCCAGGAAAGCTCAAAGACTGGGACAGCATACCCACTCTGAGAGGCAACCACTTCAGGAATGAGGAACCGACAGAGCGGGCTTGTCTCAGGTCACTCAAGAAGTTCGTGGCAAAGCTCAGAATAGAAGCAAAATCCAGAACACCACAGCTGTACATCAACCACAAAGGCAGAGGACAAGAGTTGATGAGAGGAGGTCACAACCATAGAAAGGGACGAAAGCTGGACTGTCAGCAGAAATATGGAGAAAGAAGAACAAAGAAGAGGGAGGGGGAAGATGGGGGAAGGGAAGAAGGGTCAAGGGAAGCAAGAGACAACGAAACAGTGATTGCCTAAGAGTCTGTGCATCAGTGGCAGTGCAGTGCACTCATGCCAAGCCTGGCTGGGGAACCATCATCTCAGTATCTACCCGTGAAAAACACAGCAAGACCTAACAGCTCACTTTATCTCAGAAGAGCTTTCTGGATAAAAGGGATTTGAGGGTAAAGCCTCCATAATCCTTTGGGTTTGCTTTCTTTTAATACTATAAAGCACAAAAATAAACTTTCTAGTCAGGAAAAATATGGCTTTTGTTATGTTCTGAGTCATTTTTCCCCAGCAGCAAACAAAGTGGCTTTTCAATTCAAGTCCTGAACATTTCAGAATGAAATGCTTTGCAAAGTCCTAAAGTAAATCACAATTCTCCGAGTCACACTTCTAACTAATGTAAACTCACTGAGGTCAGTAAAGAGACTCCATGTGACTGATCTCGCCTGGCGTGACTTGGGTGGCATAGTTGATAAATTAATCCCTAGTTGAAATCAATTCAGGACGATCCAGTCAGCCAAGCAGAAGCCTGGAATTTCATTACTATCTTGCTGCTATTTTGCCTAATGGCTCCTCTTAGCACAGAGGTCGAGTGCATCCCTTGTGAGCTATGCTATAGTCAGATGTTACTGGCCTGATTCAAAACCCAGTGAAATTAATTTTGCAGTTCATTTTGGGAGATCATTTAAGTGGACTTCGTCTCAACTCTGAAGTTTGCTAGCTTTAACTTCAAGATTCTTTCTTTTTTATTTCTTTTACAGAGTTTGCACCAAGTATTTTTAGAAATGTGGAAGAATGTCTCAGCTTTTCATATTAAAAGTACCTTAAAACACAGTGTTCAATTTTACTGTTAGAAATACTATCTTGCTTTGTTATCATGCCCCATTCCCTAAATGGGAAGTGGATTTCACCTAGATATTTTCTTGCAGATCCAGCAAATCTCCTAAATCAAATTCACTGTTAAAACTCAATTCAGTACTCCTCTTCAGACAAGGGGACCAGTAAAAACTCTCCAGATTTTACTGTGATGGCACCAAAGCTCTATCAACCACATTTCAAACACAGACTAATGGAGAAAACCATCCAAACTTTCCTCTGCCCACAAAAGCAGCAACAAAGACTGTACATGATACCACCACAGAGCACTCAGTACCTAAGTTGAAGAAAATAAAACTTTCATGGGCATGATTTTACAACTCTAGGTGAGTAACGGCAGGAAAAATCCCAAACTACTGGGTGCTTCCAAAGCACATAACAATGCACATTCACAAGATCAAACCATGCATGCAGCTGCCTAGACTGAGAGGACAGCAGCAGTGAATATATGTGAAAAACAGGTCTGTACTTCATGCATAAGAACACCCTATATTTGCAGCAATGTATCCAGCAACCTCACTCTGCTCCCACTAAAGTCAATGTCGGTTTTGCTACTGGCCTTTACGATAGCAGAATCCAGCTGCACTATTAACTTTGCATTGATTTCCTCTTGCAAGGAACATACTGTAATAAAAGACCTAATCAACCAGATTGCCAATAGCTGCCTACCTAAGAATAAGCAGGATATGTTTAAAGAAAGCTTTACTCTAACTTATATTCATTCCTAAAGGCTAAATCTGCTGGGCTCACAACAAAGAAACAGCATTGTTTTACTTATCAATGTCCTACTGTTCATCTAGAACATCTGCAATAGTTTTGCCTGCAGCACTACCCCATTCATTACAGGCCTTGATAGGCTGTTCAATGGGCTTTTTTTTTTTTTTTGGTACAAAATGTACAAAAGCATTTTACAAAGTGGACTTTGCCCTGATATGAATAATAAAAAAATAATTTAAAAGTGCATTTTGTTTCAGATTCTCCATTTTCCAAACTAACCTTTGGCACATGGAAACAAAATGGCAACAACTTGAAACCTGACAGCTCACTCCATGGCACGAAGCAAGACAGAGGGTTTCTGCGGAACACTGTGTTTTTTGCTCGGTTGCCAAAGTGCATTGCCATCTACCAAAAATGCAGTTCATGAAAGACCAAAATGCAGCATGATAAAACAGCAAATATTCACATCCATCAAAAGGAGGCCACGTTGGTTTTGTGCAGAGGAACAGGTGGGATTTATGAGTCCTAATCTTCCTCCCTCCCTCCAACAAACCAACCCATACAAGAGAAGAACCGTGCTTACCGTCATCCAGATATGCTTGGTCCAGATTCTGTTCCTGTTTTATAGTGACTCCAGCTGGTAACACTTCTTTCTGGTCGCTAACCGGTGGTCCATTTTTTGCTGCTCGCTGGCCTGAGGCTGTCTGCTGCTGAATCACGGTAGGATATGAACTTGGACTTAACCTTTGTGCTTGACTGACCTGGGGCTGGCTGGATCTTGCAACATTGGACGTAAAATTTTCACAGCACATGATGTGCTGAAATTCTTGGTGACTTCCACACCTCAGCTGTTGGTTGGTTGGAGAATAGTGAATCACTGGAGAAGACTGTTGGTTGCCTGGAGAGTGGTGGAGCACTGCTGAAGTTTGGCCTGGAGAACCAGCGTGCACCAGCACTGACCTATGGGCATCTGAAATAGCAACTGGTGTAGCCATCAAATTGGACTGCTGGTAGCCCAGTTGGCTTGGGCTAAGGCTCTTGCTTCTTTGATATATTACAGCGGCTGGATTCTGCTGATGGTATCGGGAATCAGGAGAAGAAAGGCCTGAGCGCAACTGCTGGCAAGGAGCCATAGTGGCCACAAGACAGGAAGGGGATTCGGTGACCATTGTATGCTGTGAATAGTAAGGCTGTGTTACTGTTCCCAGACCACTGTGTACTGTATTGCAGATTAAGGCTGGATCATAGTCATCAATGGGCTCTGTTTTGATTGATGGTACTAGAATAAAGCATGCAAAGGACATTATTCGTAACAAGCTGATGGGAAACAGAGAGGTTTTCCTTGAAGTAATAAGAGATTTAAGCCATTTACAAGATTTGCATGTGCGAGCTCGTATCTCGCAGGCATTGAGTTTGATAAATCACGTATACGCAATCATGACAGAGTCTCTCTTGAAAGCACTCTATGCTACGATGTTCTTTAAAATCTTTAATGAACTATTTAACCACGAATTTCTAAAAATCAAAAAAAAAATCAATACTTTAGCTCATTCTGGAACATAAGCAAAATAAGAAGCCACAGATAGGTGTTTCTTGGAGTACCTCCATCTCAAATGAAGACTGAATAACTAGAAATCCTATGACACATACAACTCTTTTTCTGTCAAACATTTAACTAGTGACCAAAGGCACAGCTGAACTATTTTAGGGCTTTCTTTTTAGTTCCTTTGCTACACGTAACTTCCTCAGTGCCAAGAGCTGAAGATCTTTCTGACACTGTCACTTGAAAGACCATGATTTTAGTGAGAGTTGTGTGAATCTTGGTGTGGTCCCCTACAGACAAATTAGCACATTTTTTTGTTTTAGCTTTTTTTGTCAAATCTTCCCCAAAGCTCAGTACAGAAATACCACACAATGGAAAGCATATAATGGTCATGCAACTGGATTATTTTTTGGAAGTATAAGGTTTCCTTCTCTGAAGTGGTCTATTTTAGGGGTCATATTGAGATAGTATTGTACTTCTCAACAGTATTCCATAACAGAACAATGTAGCAACTATAAGAAACCTTCACACTGGTGGTATCCTATACAGTTCATAAACTCATGGAGAGGATCAGAGATTTGCAGCCTGAAGGAGACTGAAATAAGAATCAGAATGAATATTTGCCCACCCTTAGAAACCAGTCAAATTAAGACATCATTTTGAAGCTTGCAAAAAATCTGGTACTGTTATTTTATGCTTTCTGGTTTCCACAAACACAATACTCTGATTTTCTCACAATATTTTCCTCCCAGCCAAAGCTGAGAGATTCTGGGAATCTCATTAGTAACCCTATTGCATTTATTGTGACATGGCTCAGCAATTCCCAAGAGGAAGAACATCAGAAAAGCATTCACATTTTTCTCAACCAGACTCACTCTGAACAATATATATTGCTCGTCTTCTTCCATACCATGCCCTTGTTACTTTCCCAGATCTGATGTTATCCTACTGTTGTACATGTCAGCTGGGGAAGGGAATGCTCATGGTTTTTTCACAGGGTCACATCATGTCACAGACTGAGTCTGCTCCCACCAAGGCTGTGGGCAAACTTCCATCAAGTGAATGGGACAGCATCAGCCCACTGCCAAGATAACTGTCCCCTTAAAATTTATGGGAAATTCCTGATCATAAATTACATGCATCCTTTAAACCAAACAGCTGTTGAGTGCTTAGCTGCACTCAGCTGAATTAAATTAGTAAAATTCAGATCTTCAAATAATGGCAAGAAAACAACATAGTAGAAAATAAAACCTTGCTCATGAGAACTAGGCAACAATTTGCTCTGTCCTTGAGAATTACCTGGGTGATAGGTAAAATGCTGGGGTTGGCTTCTTTTTCTTTTCCCATTGATGACATAAAAATTCACCTTCACAGCTGTGCGAATGTGCTTATTACGGTACTCTGGTACTTCTACAAAAAGCATGCTCTGAAACAATGAAAGGTGACAATATAGAATTAGTAACTAAGGCTGACCGCAGATTCTTGGGTGCATCTCCCCTGTTATACGTCCAGGCATAAAGGAAGAGAAATCTTCCTGTTCATCCCTACAAAGAAGGGTATGAAAAGAACAAAAGAAAAAGAAGGGCAGATGGTGAAAGACTACTAGGAAGCTGGTTTCTATGTACCGTATTCTCTCTGGTACTTGATGTTGTCCTGAACTTGGAGAAAGAAGTCTCAGCTACAGATAAAACACACAGAATGGTGATAAATGTGGCAGCACTGTTAATCACACTGTGCTTGATAAACAAGTATGTGTTGCAGAATTCCATCTCTTTTTTTAGAATAAACTTGATTATTCTATAGGCTTTTTACTTATACAGAGCCGGATCCCACTTCTGTGGAAATTAACAGTGAGCCTCCCGTTCTCTTCTGCAAGGGCAGGCATTGCCTGTGGCAATGTAAGTGCTAGTTCCTAAATGCACTGAACAACTACAGTAAGGTCCCATTAAGCAAAGTGAACAAAGAGGCTCATTCCCTTGAAAGATCAATGTTCATTTTAAATACTATAGTACAAATCCTGCCCTGCGAAGTACAGAGCACCCAAGACTTCCACACAGGCGAAAGGAAGTCAGAACAGCCAACAGGCTGCAGAGGACTGGGCTGATACAATAGAGTCTTCTGCAAGAACACAAAATCTAGCAGTTATTCAATTTGCTGTGGGTTACTGCTAAATGAATAGTTTCTTTTTGCAACACATTTATTGCTGAAGCATTTGACATTTGTTCATCACAGCAGTAAGATAGCTGCTCTTTCTGCTTTTGAGACGGTCTTTGAAAACTATCCCTTGAATACAACTTGCTGTCTGAGAAGCCCAAGGAGAGGACATCCAATGTTTTGCATACTTACAGGCTGGCTCTTATCTTTGTCCACTGTTGCCTCCATTTCCCAGATCTGCTGCCCATCTGGAAGAATATCACAGTATTAACCTCACAGTAGATTTTTAAATCATGAAGCTTGACTTAAAAAAAGGAGACAAATTAAGGGCGTCAAGTTAGCAAAGCTCTCAAAATGGACTTAATTTCAAGCACCTTCCCAGTCCTAACCAAAAGCAACAGCATTTAATTTAAACACATCATTGAACACTTCTCTCGCCAGGAAAAGGCTTACATACATATTAAAATTAAAAGTTTATGTAGAAATTAGCCAAACTGGGGAATGAAATATTTAGCACAGGTGCAACATCTGCTTTTTACCAGACTTGATTTCAGCCAGCTTGACTGATGGAGGGTACCAGAAGGTCAGATAACTCATTAATGGTCCCATTCGGTCAGCGGCTCAGCAAACTTTCTGCTATTTTAAGCTAAGATCACATGGCTCCCCACCAGTGTGGTAAGTGGTGGAATAGGCAAGGAGGTGGAGGAAGGACTAGCTAAAAATCCAGATCTCACATGGGGTGCACGGAGATGGAAGCAAACAAACTAAGCCACTTCAGGGCTGATTTTTAGAGATGCTGCACATGAAACTGGCAGATGCTCTGAATTCTCACAGGAGCATAGGTTTTATCTAGAAGTAGTTCAACAGAGACAGATTCTTACCGTAACTGGGAAACCAGCTGTATAGGGTGCTTGATTTCTGTTATGCATGCCCTCTTACTATTTATACTCATTTCTTGTATGTGCAATATGAAACCTCAGCGCATGGTATCTAGCGATACATCTCCTCTGATCGAGGAACAATCCCACATCTCTAACAGTGGATCCACACCTCCACACTGCCACCACTGTGGGCTGTGGGGGAACACCACCCGTAGTCTTGCCTAAAGTCACCATAAAGCACCAAATATTCACCGTACTCAGTGTAAAAGCACCTCACTGCATGTGCAACAGCCTCTACCTCTGAACCACTGGAAGTCTTTCTGCTCTTAATTACATCCGCGCAGCTCATCTCCATTCTGGGTTACACAAATCTGTATTTATAGAGGAAAATAAAATTTGATCCCCTTGTATGGAACACCATCAAAGTAACCCTCGTGCTATAAGACTACATCCATAGTGACAGTACACAGATTGTGTGCTTCATCTGGCTACAAATATTTCTTAAATCTACTGTCACCCACACTTCCCAAAAACATCTTTTAGCAATGCTGTCCTTATTACCTTTTTTTTTTTTTTTTTTAGATTTTAATCTCTGTCCCTTTGATTTTTATATTCTGCTGAGCCTTTTAGCCAAGCAATTTGCAGAAGAAAAATACTGATGGGGAAAAAAAACCCAGCCTCATACCTTTCTGCAAGCTTAATTTTAAAATAAATAGGGGACATGTATCTAAATGAACCGACGTGACTTGAAATACTGCAGCCACAAGGCTGGTGTTTGCTTTAGAGAGAGGGAGGCAGCTCCTTGGGCACGTTTCTGGGGGGTTCCCCAGACTGCACACCCAGGTCTGGCAGGACAGGGGTGGAAGTCTCCTAAAAACAGTCCTTCTCACAGGACTTTTTATTTTTCCCAATTCTTGGAATTTCTGAAAGAGCTGCTTTTGTCCTCTGTTATTTAAGTACTTCTGCTTCTGGCAAAAAGGGAAATGAAAGAGTATTTTTAAATGCATTTTACATTTTTGCTGTTGTTTTCCTCTTTGTTCTCTGCTCCGCGCAGACAATGAGCTGACAGATGTGCTCGGCTCTCCGGGCAGCCTCTCCCCGAGAGGGACCCGACCTGCTGCTCCGAGGCCAGGCCAGGCCCGCAGCCCCAGGGAGGGCTCTGCCTGCCCCTGCTCCCGTCCTTTCAAGCCCGGGGGTCCCTCCCAGCGCGCCCACTGCACCAGGCGGGACCTCGCCTCCCCAAACACCCTACCCCCAAGGCACCCCTGCTACGCGATGGCCCCTAAACATGCATGAGGGAGAGAAGGGTTTACCCTAAGTCCATCACCAACAAGGTGCCCCTTCCTCCCTCAGGACAGGCCGGCTCCCCAGTGCGTTTCGGCAGGGAGCCTGGCTTGCGGTGGGGCAGGAGTGGGCACACAGCGCTGGCTGGGCCTCCACAACCCCCTCCCCGATCCTTTCCACTGGGGAAGCGGAGGCAACTGAGAAAGAGCCAGAAGTTTGGCTCCCTCCAAAGTTGGGCTCCGTCCATTGTTCACCCATGAGGAAGAGCCTCACCATGGGAGAGACGGGAGAGAGAACCTGGGCCTCCAAGCACCTCACGCTG